TTTTTGCTGATTTTCCTTTATGAGTTCTTTGGTATGGTTTTTTTTTTTCTCTCAAATTTTTGATTGGTTTTGTTTGTTTTTGTAGTATATTCTTGAAACCAGTGTGTACCCAACAGAGCCAGCACCCATGAAAGAGCTTAGAGAGGTGACTGCCAAGCATCCATGGTGAGTTTCATCCATCCAAATTCTTAAATTATCATGATTCATAGTATTGGTCGATACCTACATCATTGGGGCGAGTTGTGCGTTTAAAATTATTCTGTGTTTAATAAAATCAAGAGTCTCACCCGACTTGTTTGAGTTGTCTATACCCTGCAATATCTTTGAGTTAATCTTGATTTGTTTGAGTCCTCATCGTCAATTACTGATATAATCTGAATCTCTCGGCATGTCTAGTATTGTTTTCATTTGGCAATGATGATGTTTGTATGTATGGTGTTGTGCTGGTGAATAAAAAAAAGTATTGGATATGTTTGTTTGGTGTCCAAACAGGAATATCATGACAACATCAGCAGATGAAGGGCAGTTTTTGAACTTGCTCTTGAAGCTGATCAATGCCAAGAACACCATGGAGATTGGTGTTTACACTGGCTATTCTCTTCTTTCCACAGCTCTTGCTCTTCCCCACGATGGAAAGGTATGAAAATTATCCATGAAAATTCTTCTGTTTTTCCCCATGAAAATTAAGGAAAATCTTAGAATTTATATTATCATTTGTTTTTTTTTCTCATTTTTTACATCCCAAATTACATAAGCTTAAAACTCCAAAATTCCTTCACGTTGCTTCCTAAAGTCAAAAATTTTCTCATGTATTTTCCTTTTTTTCATTTTTCTCATCATCAAAACAGAGGATTCTATTAAAACAAGCACATGCAAGTAGATACTTGTAGCCAAAAGAAATTTAAAAAGTTTTATTAAATCTGTGTCTTTTAATATCTGCAGATTTTGGCCCTGGACATAAACAGAGAAAACTATGAGATTGGTTTGCCAATAATTCAAAAGGCTGGTGTTGCCCACAAAATCGACTTCCGAGAAGGCCCCGCTTTGCCTGTTCTTGATGAAATGATTGAAGATGTAACTTACTACCAACCCCATCTCTCTCTCTCTCTCTCTCTATATATATATATATATATATATTTCAGTAAATTTATTTGACGATATCAATTAAACTAATCTTACAACCAGTAACATTCGTTTTAAAATCATTCACATTGAATTTTCTCTTCCTAAATTTATCACTTCTAATTTACGTTGGATTGTGCCTCCAAAGACGAGTTACCACTAATTATTATATTATATTATAAAATAGAGAGAGTTTCAATAAACTTATTAAACGGTTTTAAATAGAATCATCAAATGGTTACTAACATAATTCCTAGAATCATTCACATTATACCGTTTCTTTAGACACAGATTAAAAAACAACAAACTTTAAACAAAGAATCCTAGAGTTGTCAATGGTATCAAAATTTTTACTACATTTGTAAGAGTTTTTATTACTGTTGTGATACCTAAAAAGTGATAAAAATAGTTTCTAAAATAGTAGCAAAAACACTAATAATAATAGTAAAAATATACAGAAATGTAATAAATTACCCATAAAAATGGTTAGTTTTTTGTACCAAAAATAAGTGGTAAAAATAATTATCAGAACAGTAATAAAAACACTCAAACTAGTGATAAACATACTCATAAATGTAATAAATTATCTACAAAAATAATAAATTTTTTAGTTGTAAAATAATCTATAAAAATATTCATTAAAATAGTAAATTTTAAAGGTATTGGACTGAATTTTTTTTGCCAGTACCATGGCCAAATCCAAGAATTCCCACCTGGGGTAAACACTAACTCCTTTGTATTTGTCCATATGTGATGAATTTTCAGGGGCAATACCATGGGACCTTTGATTTCATATTTGTAGACGCAGACAAGGACAACTATATCAACTACCACAAGAGACTGATCGACCTGGTTAAGGTTGGGGGTGTGATCGGCTACGACAACACCCTATGGAATGGGTCAGTGGTGGCCCCACCAGATGCTCCTTTGAGGAAGTATGTTAGATACTACAGGGACTTCGTGTTGGAGCTCAACAAAGCCCTCGCCGCTGATTCGAGGATTGAGATCTGTATGCTTCCTGTTGGTGATGGGATTACCCTGTGCCGCCGCATCAGCTGATCAATCTACCCAACCATGAATATTGTTCGCCGGCAAACGAAAGATATCTTGTTTTAATGTTTGGTCTTTTTCTTTTTTTTTTTCCCCTTTTATATTTGTATTTAAATGTACTTTGGATGGTGAAAGTTCTTATGCCATGATTTTAATTTAATTAAATCAAAAGTTAATCATCAATCATCTTTGTTTAGATTACACCCAACTTCAATTAAAGCTAGCTTGTACTCCTCCTCCTTTGTTGTTATTGGTCATTGTATTTGATATATCAAAAAAATGGTGAATAAATGTTTTTATATTTCGTTTGTAGCAAAATTCAATAATCAGGTTGTTCATATTATCGCACGAGAAAAGTTAGTAGAGCCAAAGTGGAATCTATTGACATACTCGTTTTTGAATGTGAGTGGACAAAGAGGGTACGGTGTGGCTTCGAAGCAAAGGTTGTTAGGAATGCTTGCCTTATGAAGTCTTCCTCTGGCTTAGTTAAAAGTGATTGAGCAATGTTATATGCACTTAAAAAATATATTTAAAAATTAAACTTGATAATTAAAATTATTGATTTACTGTGAATTCTAACATTTATTGAGATTCATTATCTATTTAATAATTGAAATTATCAAATCTAATTTTTAAGTTTAATTTTTAAATCCATCTAATATTACTCAAAGGGATAACATCGAAGTCATCAACTTAAGCTTTACTGAACATCATCATTGAAGATAACAAGCATTTGTCCAAAGCCCTTAATTTAAAGTTTTTCTATAGGCTAAAAGCTCTTACTGGAGCAGCTCACTGGGACGCAACAAATATTTTGTGCAATTCTATTCTTTTGAGTTGGGTCAGCTGTCCCCTGCCCGAACTTAAGACTTTATTATCATTTTATTGTATTCATCATTTTTCTATTTGAATGAAGATATGAATATATTACTTTTAAAAAAAAAAATCTTTAGATCGATCTCCTTTATTTGCGAGCTGATCAAAAGAATAAGAGGTCATTTCAAGTAGTATCACCTCTCACAGATGTCCAAGCTTGGAGAAGAATATTGAGGTCATCTCATCATGTCTAGAAGGACACATGACACATCACATTTAAGAAATGTACCCTCTGATGATCAAATATTCTCTTAATAATATTTTAACAAACTAGGGAATCATGTAATAATGACGTGAGGATCACCCCACCTTTGAGTGTAAATATATGCGGCAATCAACCATGTTCTGATGTTCACATAGACCAATTGTAATTTCTATAACTATAATTTTATCTTTTTCTCTAACAATAAAAAATTTTCTAAGAAATAAGAGATTTCATTAGAGGGAATTCGTCAAGTTCTTCAGCTGGTAAACCATTATACTCTTTGTGTTCTCTAACTCTTATATTTGTTCTACATTTCCTGTAGCTTATTCTAGAGTCACCAAGCTCAACCATAAGTTGATCTCTCACACATTGTTCACACCATCACATGCACATCGTTGTTCCTAAACCTTGAACTTCTCAGTTCAACCACTTATCTCACGCTTTTAAGTTTTAACATCATCATTATAATGAGAAAGTTCGCGCCATCTTTAGATGAGAAAGCCTTTCTAGACAAATCAATAGGAAATACTACTACCCATTGTTATTCTATTGAGATTTTGTGAGCGATGGAATGGTTGATGAACCTAATCAATGTGTCCATTGCCACCGATGTCCGATGAAACATAATATTTTTTTTTGTTATGTTAAATAAAAAATCATTGTAAAAAAGTTAATAAGTATTTTTTAAGGTGACCTTGATCTTTTAAAAATGAGTTATATTAGGCTTTTGAGTGGATTAGAATTGAGTTGAATTTTGATTGGTTTTAATTTAAATTTAATTTTAAAAACTCTATTTGTATCTAATTTGATTGTTAGGTGAATTTCATTTTCATAATTATTATTCGAATTAAAACCCAGTAACTCAATTAAATTAAATCTAAATAATTAAATCTAACTCAATTAACTTTTTTTGATTCGATCAAAGACAAACCATCTACGGTGGGACTAAATATTCATAAGAGATATATCTCTCATAGCCTGACGATTGTAAAAATTCAAATTTAGAACATTTGAATTTAATATAGTTCAAATGTACTCTCTCTATTCCTAAATATTTATCGTTTTACATAATTTTTTTTGTTCCATAATATCTGTCGTTTTATGAAATCAAAACATAATTAATATATTTTCTTCTAAATTTACCCTCATCTTTGTTTTTCAATAAGTGCTTAATAGATTAAGTGTAGGCTAAGTGCCTTTTGTATTCCTTTTCTTTTCAATACGTATTGAATAAGAGTATTTTAGTCTTGTGCAATTATTTTTTACTCATACTAGAGCTATTTAATAGTTTCCTTAATCCCTGTGCAAAAACCTTAAACGAAAAATATTTAGGAATAAAGAGAGTATTAAATAATGAATTTACTAGTTTGCCGACCAAATAAACAAAAAAATGAATACTTAGGCTAAATTGATAGGTTTTTAGTCGATATAGAATTAATACTTCATTATCGCACTCTTAATTCAATGTCTAAACAAATATTAGATTACATTGGATAATATTTTTGTCTTATATTTATTACTGTATTTATCCGTTTATATATAGAATTAACTTGTATTACCTACTATAATTTATTTTTTTATCATACGGTAGCCGAACGAGCCATCCCAAGCAGCCCAGGACCTTCTTGTTTGGGCTTAGCCCAGTATTTTCTTGTTTTGGCTGGCTAATACTTACTTGGGATTTTTAATTTATACTGGTGGCATATTCGTCATTTAACTGAAACCCTGCAAAACCCTAGACCCTTTAAATTGTTCCTTACCACATATTCCATAGCTTCCCCATCACATTTCATCGCTGCAGAATCAGGGTTAGGGTTTTCCCAGCCACCTGACTTAGAACACTGAGGCTAACCATGGCGGCCCCAACCCAGTCCGTCCAATGCTTCGGCCGGAAGAAGACCGCCGTTGCCGTCACACACTGCAAGCAGGGCCGTGGCCTGATCAAAATCAACGGTGTCCCGATCGAGCTGGTCCAGCCCGAAATCCTTCGTTACAAGGCATTCGAGCCGATCCTCCTACTCGGTCGCACCCGCTTCGGCGAAGTTGACATGCGCATCCGCGTTAAGGGCGGTGGTCACACCTCTCAGATCTACGCCATCCGTCAGTCAATCGCCAAAGCACTCGTTGCCTACTTCCAGAAGTACGTGGATGAACAGAGCAAGAAGGAGATCAAGGACATTCTGGTGAGGTACGACCGGACTCTGCTTGTTGCTGATCCCCGACGCTGTGAGCCCAAAAAGTTCGGTGGTCGTGGTGCTCGTGCTAGGTTCCAGAAGTCCTACCGTTGAAGGCTTGGACATTACCAATGCTACGGTTTACATTTACTATCGATTTACTATGCTTTTCAGGTCCTGATAGTTTGAGACTTTTTTGTGTGACATTAAAATGTTTTGAATATTAAGTTGGTTTTGGATAATTAAATGCACTGGTCTTTTAGAATTAATTCAATGTTTTGATGCGGGAGTTCATAGTCGATTATGAATGCACTGGTCTTGTTTGTCATGTTCTCGTTTTCAGTTAATCTTTTTCTGTTTTGGCTTCTCTTTTGTTTGGTATAAAGGGCCGGAGTAACCCCCCTCCACACATAGTTTCTGGTTGATAAAAATTTAAGCTGGCCTTTTGTGTATATACCCCTTATTGTTTTTGGTTAATACAAATTTAAGCTGGCTTTTTGCGTATTATGTATAAGGTTTGTTTGTTGATTTCTAAGTGATTAAGTGCTCTGATTGATTTATGTTTTATAAGTGATTAAGTGGTGTGATGGATTCATGTGTTTATAAGTGATTTGGTGCTGGTGTATTTATGACTATATGCTTGTTTTTGTTTTTTGATTGATTTATAAGTATGCAAGTGCTGTGGTTGGTTTAGGGTTTTATTTGTGTTTGTGTGATTGATTCATAAGTATTGTTTCTATGCTCGGCATTTTACTACTATTTTCCCACTTGAAAGTCTTGAAGTGAATTGGGTTTAATACCAGGGACGTGTTACTGTCAACAGTTGTGTTGGATCCTTACTGGGACTCCTATTGTTTGATGTATTAATCAGCTGTTAATTTTTGGTGTATGCTTTTTTTTTTTATTTCCTGTCAAGCATGTTTGCATATTACATAATGTGTTTGTGTCTTTTCCCCAATTTATCCTCCAGTGCTGTTGGTGTTTTCTTATTTTTGGGTGGTTAAATATTTCTTAGTTCATAATCTTTCAATGCATATTTACTCTATGCAGGCTCATCTAATATATTGCCCATATCATTTTTTGTAATTTACTGGATATAAATACGCAGAACCTATTATATAGATAAAGATAAAAGGTCTTATTAGCTGGAATTTATTGTAAACTCTTGTGGAAGCTATTGTCTGGTTTATATTACCAGTCATACTCATCCTTTGTTTGAAGGTATTGGCTACTTGAAATTTTAGAGTCTGGACCATGTAAATTCTTTTTCAACTTAATATAGAAAAATAAGACTAATTCAGAGAGGTGATGCATAACCTAAATATTGTCAATGGAGGCCATGTTTCCTTCCAATTAGTTTTCTGCATGACCTTTTCTGAACTTATATTTTATTATTAAATGTACATTTCCTAATAAATTTGGGCTGTGAAACTAATCCAAGATATTCACTAAATCGTGAATGAGTTTTGAAAAACAACCGATCTTTATCCAAGCCAAGTATCTGATTTTCAAGGACAACACAATCATATTCACTGGCAACTTCTATATATGGTTGTGACGTTATGTAGCCATTGTTACCATTCTTCTCGACAGCACCAAAGTGAAATGAAACATTACTGGAATTCTCAGTTTGTCATCCCTTCTGAAGATAACAACTGCTTATTGAATTTTTGCTTACTGAATACCAGCAGATTTTGTGGATGAATACATCAGAATTGGAGAAAGCATTGTCATACAAAGTCTGAGAAGGTTTGTGAAAGTTGTTATTATAGTGTTTGACGATCATTACTTAAGGTCACCAAACAATAGCAATATTGCTCGATTGCTACAGACGAGGGAATAACGTGGCTTTCCCGACATGTTAGAGAGTATTGATTACATGCATTGGAAATAAAAAAATTGTACGACTGCATGACAAGGTATGTATATTAGTCATTGTCACAAACAAACAATCATTTTAGAAGTTGTGGCTTCTCAAGATCTTTGAATAAGACATGCATTCTTTGGGATTTCTGGTTCGCTGAATAACATAAATGTTCTAGATATGTCCCCGATTTTTGCATTATTAGCAAATTGTCATTCTCCTCTATTAAACTATACAATTAATGACCATGAGTATACAATGAAATATTATCTAGCTGATGGTATTTATCCAAAATGGTCGACATTTGTAAAAACAATTCCCTATCCGCAAGGTTTGAGGAAAAAATATTTTGTTAAAGCACAAAAGTCGGCAGTAAAAGATGTAGAGCGGGCATTTGGGGTATTTCAAGCCCGTTTTGCAATCGTCCATGGACCAACCAGCTTTTCAAATGAAAGAACATTTGTAGATATTATGAAAACGTGCATAATAATATATAATATGGTCATTGAGGATGAAAGAGATGTTGGTAACAATGACTTTCATGGAAGTGATGCAAATCCGCTTGTAGAAGTGTCGCATGCGTATACACCAGAATTGAAAGACTTCATGCAAACTCATTGTCAGATCAAGGACAGTGCAACTCATTCTCAACTCATTTGTGGGAATGACATGGCGAACAATAATTTTCTCAATTCCAATTTTAAGTTGTATTTTCAATTCCAATTTCAATTTCAAGTTATATTTTCAATTTCATCGGTACTTTCATAGCAATCAAACTTAATACATAGTTTTTCATAAATAATAATAAATAATGACTAAAAATTAAAAAATAACAGCAACATAATAAATACTAAAAATTAAAACTCCGCTTTTTCATAATCTTTATTTTCTGGTTATTCCAATATGATGCAGAGATTGAGTCCATGTCAGTAGTGTCAGTTTTCATGATTTTTATTTTATTATGCATTTCAATTTATTGCACCTGCCTTTCTTCAATTTCTAATTGTTTACGATGTTGCTCAAATGTTATTTCTTGTTGAGCATAAATTTTGTCATGCCGCTCACCTTTTTGTCGTTCCACTTCCATTCTTTGATTCTATTAGTGATAATCTAGTAATGCTTCAACACCGATTTTTTTTTTAAAATTATTTCTTCGAAGCCTTTCTGTCCAATGGCCTATCGAGGTTGGGAGTAGACGAAGGTTCAATGTCATCCCCTAAATATGAAGTTGAATAGCAAAATTTAACATGATTTGATTTAGCAGGACTACCAGTTAAATGAGTTTTTGCTCTCTTATTGCTGGTGAGATTATCAATTCATTTTCATTCCATTTTCAATATATTCAAACAATACTCATATTGAAATGGTCTTCAAATGATCTTAGCAAACATTATTTTTGCTTCATCAACTTGAAAAACATATGAAATCATTTTGTCAAGTTGCTCTACAACTTGTTTGATAAGTCGCTGGTGTTATGTGTTACCCGCCGGAATAACGAGAACCAACAACGAAAAGAACCCAAGATCGTTTAACGAACAGATTTTATGGTAGACCTTGACCCGTTGTTTACAACAAACAAGAACCTTAGTATATAGACCTCAACCCACTGTTTGTGAAACAAGAACCTCGGTATAAAGGAAGACGCCACAAACGGTGTGGAAACCCGTTTGATAAGTCGTTGGTGAACGCCACGGAGAATTTCAATAAGTTCGTTTAGTTCTTCAAAGAACCAAAGAAAAAACACTCTCAAAATTTGCTGAGTAATGACCTAAATTTTCATTGATCTGAATGCCTATTTATAGGCTGGTCATTACAAGGATTAAGAATCTTCCTAAAATAGCTATCCTACTTAGGAAATATCTCTTACTTGGGGGTAAAGAAATATCTTTTACTTTCCTAAGACTCTTGAAGAAAAAAGGAAAGACATTCAGCCCTTTAAATGGCTGAGCACATGCCTAAATAGAAAAAGGAAAGTAATGTCATCCCCTAAATATGAAGTTGAATAGCAAAATTTAACATGATTTGATTCAGTAGGATTACCAGTTAAATGAGTTTTTGCTCTCTTATTGCTGGTGAGATTATCAGTTCATTTCCACTCCATTTTCAATACATTCAAACAATACTCATATTGAAATGGTCTTCAAATCATCTTAGCAAACATTATTTTTGCTTCATCAACTTGAAAAACATATGAAATCATTTTGTCAATAGTAAAAAAATTAAATCATAGTAGTGTCTATCTAAAAAAGCTCAATCATTACATTATTTTGCTCGGTGTGTCTACTTTGTCGCGGTCTTTTAATTTGACTATAAAAATTGACAAATTTGTCACATTTGACATTTACATCAGTCCAACGACTTTTAATAAAAGCTTGCGAATGCTCTTCTTGATTGCCTCCATGAAATTCTAAGTTTTTCAATATTTTTTGCCAAAAAGCACCACCTTGTTGTTCATTTTCAATAATTGCATCTTTACTCGTGTTAAGCCACACAAATACGAAGTTCTTTCTCTTTTGCGATTTTCTCACTCTTGGCATCAATACTGTGAGATTGGTTTACATAGCATCATCATATAAATCGGTGTCGTTCTTAAACAAATAAGTGAAAGAACTGTCAAATTACAAATCCATCTACAAAAAAAAATTATAATCAATTTAAAGAATAAGCATAAAATAATGAATTAAAAAATAAATCAAATCACCCTTAATTAAAACAAATTATAAATTAAATCTGTTATCCCCTTCTCTCTGTCATAAATTAACCTTTAATTAAATTAAATCTGCCACAAATTATAAATTATAACAAATCATTGATGCCCTATTCCTTTCCCTTTCCCTCTGCGATCAGACCCTTCTCCTTCCCTTTGTGATTCAGACTCTACTCCTTTCCCTTTCCCTCTGCAATCAAACCCTTCCCCTTCCTCTTCCCGTTCTCCTTCCATGTGCAATTTAGACCTTACCCCTTTCCCATTCCTTTCTTTTCAAAATCTTTGTATTTATAGAAATTTTTTGTTGAATAGAACAGTTGAAAGAGCCATAGATTTGAACATTAGAATTTGCAAACCTCTTCCTTTCCCTCTCTAGAGTTGTCAAAATTGCCACTTCAAAGTCTTTGATGTTATTTTACAATCTCTAATGTCACTCCCGTTAGAGTCCAAATTTTTAAATTTGAGATAGTATTTTCACAATTATGGGATTGTCACCCCCGATACCACTCTCCTTAAAGTTGCTCTAAATACAACATTAAAAATATAATAAAATTTTCAATGCACCTTAGAGTTGCTCTAAATACAACATTAAAAATATAATAAAATTTTCAATGCACCCGTGGGTAAGTTTAACAATCACTTCCAGAACATGTTTTGGCTTTCCTTTCTAAAGCTAAGATTGTCCTCGGGACCAAATCCAACAACACGGAAGGGGCCTCTCTCTCTATCCATCATGGTTACAGAAAGTGATGAGCCATTAACACCGGCCGGAAGGCTATTCCTCCGGCCAGAACTGAACACAATAATCACCTGCGCCATCGGCCTCAAAAACCCAATCGAGGTCGACGCCGTTGAATCCCAAATTCGAAACTCGATGTT